AAATCGAAGTGGCTATTTTTTGAGAAGAAATATTAAAATAAATTCACACTTATTATAAAGCAGGTAAAATTTAGAACATATATTTGAAAAATCAAAAAAATACATTAATATTTTCATTGATAATTATTTTAAAATTTAAAAAAAAGCGGAAAAACAACAAACATGACCTTCGCCTTCAACGTTTTATTTGTTACTGAAAGCATTTCATTATTTTTAAGTGAACAGCTTTTTTTTCTCATAGGGTAAGTTAACGCAAGATATGGGAAGTACCTGTGGTGTCAAGTTGAAAATATAATTAATGAAAGATAATTCTTAAATATTGATATAAATACATAGTAAAGAAAAAATTTGAAGAGGGAATTACAAAATAATATCTTAAATACAATCAAATATTATTTGTTAAATACAAATTTTATATAAACTTCAAAATTTTACCTCTATTTTTATTTGAAAAAATATTAAAAACTTACTATCATTTATATCAATTACCTAAGAAAAAAAAATATTTAAAATGTTTGGAAAAAACAATCATATATTTTTATGACCGGATTTGAATATTTTTCTATTTTTGAAATGGTATTTTACCAAATGACTCGAAAATTCCGACTGTAAAATAACAGGTATTTTAAAATTTTTGTTCATGTATTTTAAAATTCTTTCCGTTTAGAATTAAGATAGGTCATACATACACATGCAGGGACATTTTATAAATAGATTGCTCTTGTTTACCTGCTAATAAAATATGAAAAAAGAGCACAGCAAAATTTTTGAAGCACTCAATATAACATGTTTGAAATAGTTTTAAAATAATTATTTAAAAAAAAATTTATTGGAAGTAGGTACATACATATTTATTCTTAATAATTTAAAAACTAACTGAAATTATTTGAAACAATTTTATGAGTAACGTATGAATAATCGAAATGAGATAATTCAAATTGTTGAAATGTGTCAACCTATATTACTTTTAATAACACTTTTGTTAGCCGACACTACTCAACTTACCTTATTGGGAAATACAAAATGTGCATAAAAAATCGTACATCCTTCCTCATTAACATTTCAAACCATACTGAAATATGAATTTCAAATTTTTTTTCATTTTTTATTTCCTCCTACCTTTCTTTCTTTTTCGTGCAATAGAATTTAAATGGGAAGCTTTTTAAAAAATGTGTATAATATCCTGAGATTTTTTAAAATATTAATCTCTTTTTTACGTAAAAAAAAAGAAAAAAATAATAAAAAATATGACACGATCAGTGGCATTTAAAGAAAAAACCAACAACGAGGCCAAAAATTCGTAACATTTCGTAAAAAAAATTGAGTAATGGGACTTGTTAGATATAAAGACATTATTTTTGTATACAAATATTGGTGAGTGATCGCATTAGTGTAGTGTAAACGGAGAGCCGAACTACTTATTAATAGATATACATACTTTGATCCGAAGTATAACAATATTTAATTATGTTTATAGTATTATTTTGGTGAAGAAATATCCTAAGCAAACAAGTGATTGTTTACATAAGCATATAGTTCATAAGGGCATGTGGACTATACCAGTAAAGAAAATAATTTCCGCTCAAAATTGGAAAACTGATGATAACAAAATTTTTTCCGCAAAAAAGTTGGTATTTTTAAGTAAAGTAACAAAAGCAACATGCATTTCTTTTATGAATTAAATACCTAACGAGTTTTTGCAAATAAAATGTTGAATTTTTTATTCAAATTTTCATGAGAAATAAAGTTTCATTTCGTTTACAAATTTCGTTTGTAATTTTAATGTTCTTGTTTTTGATGTTCAACTTTCAATAAATTCATTTAGATTCAGATTCATTTTCAAATGTAAATTAATTATTTTTTATTTTATTAGACAAATTGCTTAAGCCAAGCATCAATAATGATGCAAATTAATATTGCATAACAGCTTCAGCACCACAAAAAACTTCTTTGCCAACCTTAACAAAACCTAATCTAAAATTGGCCATATTTATAACCGTGTTAAGATGGGCCTTATAGTCAAGCTACGGCTATAAGAGCTTGACCTAAAAAACCCCAAAGAATATATCAATGAGTATAACCATTATAAAATACATATGTAACATTTTGATTAAAACTTATATGTACACTAGTTTTTTCAACGCTGACAGTTCCATGCATTCTTAGCAACAATCAATTGACAAATTCTTGTGGACACACAACTGCCAAGTTTCATGAATCTGACTTTATTATTTTTCCAAATATGTAAAATAAGCTTTTGGAGTTTTATGGCAAGTACCTGAACCTGTCAAACAATTCCATCAAAACTTCACAAATATATCTGATCTATAATCGGACACACAACTGCCAAGTTTCATGAATCTGACTTTATTATTTTTCCAAATATTTAAAATAAGCTTTTAGACTTGCATGGCAGCTACTTGAACCTGGCGAGCAATTCCACCAAAACTTCAGAAATATATTTGAGCCATAATTAGACACATGACTGCGAAGTTTCATGAATCTGACTTTATTATTTTTCCAAATATTTAAAATTAGCTTCTGGAGTTGTATGGCAGGTACCCGAACCTGTCAAGCGATTCCTCTAAAACTTCAGAAATATATTTGACCTATAATTAGACACATGACTGCCATGTTTCATGAATCTGACTTTATTATTTTGCCGAATATAAAAAATTTGCTATTGGAGTTGTATGGCAGCCACCCGAACCGGTGCAGCTATCCCATTATAATATTTAGAGCATGTGTAGAATATAATTGGACACATGTATACAAAATTTTATATTTATAGCTTTATTAGTTTTTGAAATATTTAAAATAAATTCTTGGAGTTGTATGACAGTTACCCGAACCCGTTATCCGATTTAGTCCAATAACAATAGGGTTCGTCCTTGGCACAAAAAAAAAAACTTGTGAAAGTTTGGTGTCGATTGCATTATTCGTTTTTGAGTTATCGTGCGATCGGACGGACGGACATGTCTAAATCGACGCAGAATTTTACGCTGAGCAAGAATATATATATATGTCCATACCGCAGATGACTCCTTCAAGTAGTTACAAACTCCATACCAAAGTTAATATACCCTTCACGAAGTGCAGGGTATAAAAAGGTGTGTGCATACTGATTAATACTTTATAAAATATAATTATTACCGACTCATGAGAAATATGTTCTAAATTTATTAAGATTGAAATAAAAATAAAAAATTTAAAGATAATTTGTTTATTTTATTTATTAATAATTATTAATTACAAATGCTTAACATTAAAAATTTTTGTTTTATAGTTTGGTTAAAACTTTTTATTATGTGGTAAATTCTAATTTTGATATACAGTTTAATGAAATATGTTTTGTCCCACTTCTCACAACATTCATTACAAAGTTTAATAAAAAAAATTTTGTCGGACTTCTGTACAAATATCATTAAAAGGTTTAATAACAGTATTTTCTAAATTCTTTAAATTAACCATGAAATTCTTGGATGGTTTATAAAAAACTGTAAAATATTTTTTTTTTTCACAACTAATTCAAATTTTTTTTAATATTATACGTCTTTTTGAAATTTATTTTTATTATTTTTCAAAATTATATTACTTATATAAATTATAATAATTTTTTTTAAACACTTTTTTTCCGCTTCGCTTTTATAATATGAATACACCTTTTTTGCCACCTTGTACTGGAATAAGTTACAAAAATAAAACTCCCGCCTTTAAAATTCTTAATAATTTTTGCTATACTTTATATAGGGAAAAATAAATAACTCCTGCTTTTAAAAATACATTATAAAAAAACAAATTCTAAAAATTCTTGTGTATAAAAATGAAAATAAGAAGGAATACTGCTTAACTCTTTTAACTAAGAGAATTTTTTGTATACAAATATTGGTTAGTGGTTGCATTTGTGTGATGTAAACGGAGTGTCAAACTACTTATTAGTAGATAACTTTGGTGTGTACGAATGACTTTGTTACTTCATTCATTTACTGTAATTTTAAATTTTGAAAACTTCAACTTTATATTTAGTGTTATCTTTAGAAATCACCTTAAGTCGCAAAATATTTATTACATATATTTATTTGTTTTACACTTATTTACAAAGTATTAAAAAAATTTCATTAAGTACAACTGGTGCAATACAAAATAAATATTTTTCTTTTCTTATATCATGACCACACTTTTTTAATATACTAATTTGAGCAAAAGAAACCAATTTACGAAACTCGCGAATTTAGAACTTTAGCGATTCGCAAGTGGTTTGGTACTATGTAACAAAATCAAAAACATTTTTGACATTCTAACTTTTTTAAAATAGTCATACATTTAAACGTATATTATTATTATATTGCTAATTTTAAAAAATATCGATTAAGAAAGATTTGTAACAGTTAAGTTAAGATTTAAATATGTATTGCTCTCGCTCATTTCGTTTATTATAACCGAAGTTTGTAAGGCTACAGAAAAAAAGTTAAGTTCGATAAAAATAAAACGGAAAGGAGCAATATAAAGATGGATGCAAACCGGAATTAGTTTTGTATTTTATTTTGGCCTATATTAAAATTATAATTATTAATTTTCTAATTTAATAAAGCACAATAAATGTAACATTTACGTTGTTTAGTTTTATTTTCTCAAAAACTTAGGCTTATGCAACAAGATTCGTAAACGAAATTGCAAGTGAAAGTATGCGAAAGCAACATTCTGTTGTACAACTTTTGCTACTTTCACCAACGCAAATTTACGATATTCGATTTATAGTGTTAAAATTTAAAATGCGAGAATCGTTTAGCGAAAATAGCTCAACAGTTCACAGCTGACGAATTTACACGTATACTTACAAGATCTATAGAGGGACCTTTTTAACATCATAAATCTCCCTAAAGATCAAATCAATATCTCCTTTTTTCAAATTGTAAATTAGAAAAAGTTAAAATTCAATATCTTTCTATTTAACTAGTGCTTACATTCTTGAAGTTTTGTGTTATTAAAACATTAAAAAATTAATTTAAAAAAAAAACCTTCCAGGTTCCGTTCATTCTTTTAATATTTCAATAAATGCTACACTACAAAATATTTGTATATGTATTTATATTCAATTATTCAGATTTTATAGATGTATTGTTAAATCATTGCCATTGCTTCTCGTGTTAATTTCTCTGTCAGAATACCATAAATTGATTAAACTATAACTTTTTCAATATCTAGGCTCTTCTTTTATTCTTATGGATGATGAATTTTCGTTTGTACCACTGATAAATTATTATTTTTTGAAAAAGAAAACATTAATTTTTAATATTTACAACGTTACCCATTATTTATTGTTGAACTACTTCGGTGCAAAAAATTTTCATTATCAGCATTTCTTAATGCCTCCGTCAATTCATCGAGATCTGGTTTTCGATCCTCCTCTTCATAGTTTCTATTTTTTAAAGCAAAATCTTCATTATTTAAAATTTGTTTATAAAGGAAACTTACATTGTTGCAAGAGGGTCATCAAACACTTCAGGTTTAACATGATGCGGCTCTCTAAAAAAATATTATTACTTTTTGTACAAAAACTTAAAACAAATATTACAAAGCTTCAACATCATTATCAGTAATTATATCTTCGTTATCAAAATCTTCATCTGTTTCAGTTATAAATGATTCAGAATGCGTTGAATTTGATTCTGAGTTTGAAATTAGCGACGAATAACAAGATTCATCACTTGATTCACTATCACTACTACTTTCGATCGATTCAATACTTTCATCCTCTGACCTTTCTACTTCTTCATCCATGCGTGGTCGCTTTGCTCTTTGTGCCTCTGAGTCAGAATCGTAAAGCTCCAATGTTGATTTTTGTAATTTTACCGGACGATCTGCTTTAGTTTTCCGCCTTAACTTCCTAAATAAAATAACTTGCATTAAATTTTGTTTTTGCAAAGTATTTTTTTTAAAGTTTGTAAAATCACACCACATATGTGGTTTAACAAAAATGAACTTCTTTTTGAAAATTTACGTATATACATTTGCATATATGCACATGTTTTACGTGTATTTATACCTTTGGCTAAAACTTTTTTGTGCTATTAAAGACAATAAAAGCGTAAAGGAACTCATGGTTAAATTAACATCAAACATACAATACGTACTGCTTAAATTTCAATAACTTTTTTTTTTTTTTTTTTAACTCTTTTAGTTTTTTTAAAAAAGAAAATAAAACAATGGTAGAAGCACCCAAAGCTACAACCCTTAAAGTTTTTGACGCCATTCAGATTTATTGACTATTGTAAACTTTTATTGTATACACATTTTTTATATACATACGTACACACATACATATGTACACATACATACATATGTATGTAGTCAGTTAAAAAACACTGTATCACTACTAAATAAAAACAGACATTTGCATTGTTATAATTTCCAAAAATTAAAATTTCTGCAATTTACAATTCAATATGTTCATACACAGGTACGAGTTATCACTGTGGCTACACCGCGTTTATGGTGAACAAGTAAAAGAAGTTTGTTTCAGAATTTTTATAATGTTTTTCTACTTAGTACCTAAATTTTTTATAACCCATATTGCGACGACTTTTTAAAAGCAGAACTAAAATTAATGCAGCCATTCTTTGAGTTCTATTCATTCTTTTTTTAATTTTTTAATTGAAAGTATTTAAAAATTTAATAAAAAAATTCAATTTACGAATTTATTTCAAAATTCTCTAAAAAACAGCTGACTTGTTTAACAGCTGTTATTTGTTATGTGGGTCATATAACAGGAATGTATTTATGTTGAAAAATTTTTGCGTTTTCGAATCGAATGATCGATATGAACGATATTTCCATAAATTTATTCTTTTTCTTGAAAAAAAAGAATAAAGTAGAATTTAAATAAAGTACCTGAATTTGCATTAACATGTTGTACCACATGTTATATGTTCTTCGAGAAGGTATCTATCACGGTTGACAGAAATATAGACTTGAATTTAGTGTCAATTATCAAGCCAGTTTGGTATAAAACTTTAAAAAATTTTAATAAGAGAAAAATGGGACGTCACTTTCCTCAAAAAGATTAAAAACTTCTCATTTAAAAAAAAATAAACCTGATAGAGAATTTGAAAAGACTTTATAAAATATATAATAAACATCAAATAACAAATACTTATTAAACATAAAAAACATTTTTTGGTTATAAAAAAAAGTGAAAATTTTGAATGTTGACAAGCAACATATAATTTCATAATTACAATTTTATCAAACAAAAAATGTTATGTCGATGAAAAAGTTTTTTTTGAAAAAAAACCTTATGACATAAATTTATATATTTTGACAGCTTTATATTTTTAAAACTCTTTAAAGCACTAAATCTAAACTTGAAAAAATATTGACAAAATGCTTGAGTTCTCATTTTTTCTTAGCTTCTCTCATTTTTTCTCAAAAAGGCATTATATCAGTCGCTTTATATACTACAACCGGAACAAACTTCATGAAGTTTTTTCAAATTTTATAAAGTATTGAAAAACTTTCTTTTAGCAGACTATTAATTCATAACACATAAATTCTGCCACATTTTTTCAAAGTATTGTCGAATAGTTTTTTTTTAGAAGTTTGGAACAGCGTTCAGCTGATTTTTATTTTGATTATTTTCATATGAAAACGAAATTTTGGCAGAATGATATGTAACAGTTTGATATGTAAACAGCCATCAGACTTTACCACGGATCTAGTTCTTTTAGGATTTTTAGAATTATTATGGTTTGCTAAATGAATATGTACTCGAAGCGAATGACTTATTCAAATATTCATCGAAATGATATTATGGTTTACGAACAACCAAATTCGCTCGGAAAAAATCATTGCTGAGATTTGAAAAAAATCAATTTTGAATATTTTTAAAAGAGTAAATAAATTGAATAATTTAGGTAATAATGTTTTTCGAAAAATTTTATATTTAATTATTATTTTAACATTTTCACTTGATAAAATAAATGAAAATATGCTTTTATCAAGTACCGATATCTTCTACTGTGATGAACACACCAATAATAGTAGCGCAGAAGAGAAAAATGCGAAAATTGGAAGGATACGAAGATCAATCCAATCTATTGAATTTACCGGAAACTGAGGCAGTTATAATAGATTTTTTATAGCAGGTTCCAGATAGTTTAGCTCCATAGCCAAGTTCGCCCATATTTCCTTTAGTGTACATTCGTTCAGCCAGAGCTTAACTCCACCACGAGCTACCTCCGAAGTGCTTTCCATTAGTTCTACTATTTTTGCGAACTGCTCCCAATTCGTTATTTTAAACTAAAAATTTATGAATTAGTATATTATGCATATACGAACGCTACTTTTTGCTTTGCCATAAAAAAAAAAACAAATTTTTTTATCACATGAAATAGTTGCTACATGGACATTATTTAATAAAACTTCTTTTTTAATTACATTTAACTCATTATAGATATTTAAAAATAATGCTAATGTTTTAGGTTTTTTTTATAATTACTTCCATCATAGTCTTAAAATAATATATACTATCAACTAAAAAATGAAAATCACGCAAAGTTTTGAAAATTACATCTAATCAGACACAATTTTTATTCGCCTAATTTTGACATTTCCTTCGAACTAATTTTATTCGTTTCTCGAATCGTAATACTATTTAGGAGAACTCAAGAAAAATAACATTTGCTTCGCGAACCCTAATAACCATATTCTTTATATATGTAAACTGTGTATTAAAAAGAAAAAAAACAACATGTGTTTACACCTGGATCTCGTGATTCCAGGTGTAAACACATATTGTAAATAGTTCATAAATATGTAACAATCCTTCATTTCCAAAACGCAGTGAAAAGGTAAAAATTGCAATGTAACATATTCAAAATTGTTTATTAAATGTTTTTAACATTGTAAATATTAGTAAAATATTTTAAATTTTTTTATTAAACAACAAAGAAATGCGCGGAAACACAAAGGCAAGAAAAACAAATAATTAAAATTGTATTGCTAAGTTTTTTTAAGAAAACGTTTAGTATTTTTTTATTATAATTATTTATTTACACGGGTTCTTATTTCGAAAGTTTTAAATGCAAAAATATTATTTTTTTGGTCCAAAGAAATAGTATTTTTGGTTTATTACCAGCAAATTTGAAAAACAAAGTTTTTTTATCGTTACATTGATACTATTCCAAAATGTACCGAAAACATGCAAACAACACTGCAGTTGCAAAAGCTTTTCGTGTATTTGTAAAACCGTAAAATTGTATTCAATTTTACCTATATTTACCATTTAACTTAGGCGATATTTTAACTGTACTAAAAACTTTTTATACTGCGTTTCGGAAATCATTGTATATATGTATAGTATGTGTGTACAGCATGCAAGTTTTAATAATTGATAATTTAAATAATTGTAAATAGCAAAAAAAAATAAAAACAGAAAATTTTATTTTCATAAAATTTATTTTCCGAAGCAAATTCTTCAACATTTTAACTTAAACAAAATTTTACAATTTTATAAATCTGTTTTATAATAATAAAATTTCTTATGAACTAATTAGTTTACTTAATAACACAAAAGAAAATACTTATGGCACTTCCCTGGTAAGTATAAGGTGGGCGTGAAATAACGGTAACAACTTACCTTCAACAACTCCCGCCCCTCCCAAATCCAATGGTGTTATACGACCCGTGCCTAGTAGATTAGATGGTGGTCGGGAGGTATACTGGCTGCCACGAACGGAGTCTCTCTGATGCGAGAGTATTTTGACACCTCTTCCCTAGCTACTCGTGGGACCAAACAATGATAAAAAACAAAACAAAGAAACAACAACCACAACAACAACAATAAAAACGTCCAAGCGGAATAACACCGCTAAAACGACGTTTGACAGCGTCGACAGTCTGGAAGCGAAGACAACCCGAGAGGACGGAGGTTAAGTGGCGAGGGCGTAAGATGGTTCCTGCGGTTCTTGGAACATGGAAAATCACCCGATGAGACCAGGAAATTGCCGAGCAGAGAGAGGCAACGGTGGGGAGAAACACGAAAAGCACCCCGCTAGAACAGGCGAAGAAAAAGAGGCGCGATGCCTTGACTCCGTAAGAAGAGGAGGCGAAAAGGAGAAGAACGGCAATGCAGAGGGCAGCGGGAGTAAGTACCACCCACCTTGAGAAGGCTATTGTCGACGAATTAGCCAGTGGATGGGATATCATCATTCAGTTTGAAGGTATACACTTCAAGTCGGGTTTGGTTTTCATCGAGTGTTCCGATGAGGAGACGGCCACCTATATTAAAGGCGTAGAAGTGGACGACGTTGGTTGCAAAGAGAGGAGATGATATCCCTGAGCCACACATTATCACCCTATACTTGCCCAGAAGCACCAACCTGAAATGGGAGAGGACGCTGGTAATTCTTCATGCTCAAAACAGAGGAATACACATCCCAGCTTGGAAGTTGCTGGGACAAAAAGAAGAAGGAAGGGGGCAGTTGTTGAAAGTTGGTATTGGCAGAACTTCAGCAGTTGCCATAGAAGGAGAAGGATCCAAATCATGTACCGATTCGATAAGATCACCGTGATAGCGCTTAAAAGGACCCAAAAGGTTACTCAAGGAGTGGGTGGATCTTACGTTCGCGTGCGAAAAGAAAAAAGGGAGGTGGACCACTCAAAGGCAAAAAAGGACGCGGAGGATGAGGAAGGAAGACCCCCATTACGTACGGTTGAGGAGATGGAAAAGGTCCTTGATCTCACCCTCCTCAACCTTCAAGACGAACCGCGGGTTCGTCTGAAATCATATCGTTAAATTATGGGGAAAGAATCCTTCCAATTAAGGGACCTTCCATTGAGAACGCAAGAGGGAACCGGGGTCGCCCAGGTGAACCTCCACCACGTCAAAGCCAGCTACAAGCAAGGCAGTAATGGCAAGAATGTTCACCAATCAATAGCTGGGGCTGGCACTCATCCAAGAGCCTTGGATACATAGTGGACACATCAGGGGTTCATCTATTAGAGGAGCACAGGTAGTTTACGATTTTGCGCAGGATCTACCTAGGACGTGCATTGTAATAAGAAACAATATTAATTATATTCTACTTTCAGAATTCATGACGAGGGACTTGACATCCGTCAGAACCCGTGCTAACGCAGGAGCAGAGTTCTGGATATTGTTCTGGCGTCAGCCAATTTCGCAAGAAAAGTACAACAGGTGGCGCCACTCGAAGTACAGGAGCTAATAAAATACTGTAACAGGAAGGGACTACCTCTCATCAGTGGGAGTCTTACAGCTCTTGGGGGAGCAGTAACATTAATCCCAGAGGTGAGTGCTTGCTAGAATTTTTGTTTAGAGAAAACCTAGACATCACATTCAGCAGCTCGAGTGTGCGTAACCTCGTGCGAGACTGGAGGGTATCTGAAGAGACTTCCATCAGAACCGGACCACAGAATTGTCCGGTTTAGCCTTTGAGGAATCGCT